CTGGTGGCCATTTTATGCAAATTAGGCATGGGATAGTTAAATCCCTGCCTCATTTGCAATGTCGACCTGCCTAATCTGCATCCCTCTGCCGACAGAGGGATGCAGTCTAGACATACCTTATGAGTCCCTGTTAATGTTTTAGTTTTTGTCACTTTGGAAGAAGTTTAAACTAACCTGAAAAAAGTCACTCTTATTCCAGACTGTCTCACAACATCAGCATCTAGAGTTGCAAATTACGACTGTATGTATTACTGGACATTTCATCAGAGGATGCAATCTTTTATTAAAGATGAATCTTCAATTCCAGGGGGCTCCAGGACAATCCTGGAAGGGTTGGCAATCCTGTCAGCAGCCTACAAGATGTGTGATTATTCTAAGTTGTCATAACCAAGCAAAAAATAAAAATGGACTCTATTATGATCTTTGAGGCTTGCAGTAGCACCAAATCTGACATGTGGCAAGCAGCTGGTAATGCTGAGTTCATTGGTGATTGCAAGTGGCTTATCTACACAGGGGGATAATGCACTCAACAAAAGTGTGATTTCTAAAGTGCACTCATGTCTTACGCATTAGTAGGTTTGGGGTAGGCCTTTCTTGTGAGCATCAAATATAGTGATGTTTGAAATGTTACCATATTAAAGCGCACTAGGGAAACTTTAGTGCCAACAAGCAGGTTCTGCACAGACTAATTATTGTGCAGAACCACACCCTCTCAGTATGCACCACCCCACCATGTGGGCAAGACCGTAATATTTTCAGGATTGGGCCTCAAATCCTTACTTCTGCCTTCGACACATGCAAGTGGGGGTTTGCAGTTCAGGCCCCTGAGCTCGAGATAGCAGAGAGACACTGAATATCAGGACATATCTGAATCACTTATACTCTCCATCTGTTACAGATCATCTAAATCAGAAAAGAAAGACACAATGCAAACTTGGGATACTACCATGTCTACTTGAGACAAAAGGATAAACACCATTATATATTATGGATGCTATTGACTCATTAAAGCCACGTTTTTCTCATTTGTAACTTTTGGATGATTTTGATCTTGCCGATAAGTCTAAACTTGACTTTCTTCTCCTGTGGAATCATGGAGCTCAAATAAAAAAAGGATATTCTGTAATTATACATCGCTGCCAGTATTTAACATATAGCTCACCACTAATTAAACGCACAAAGAAATAAGCAATCTGAAAGCACCATGTACACTGGTGATACAAAATATGCATTAGGGGAGGACTGCAGTTATGTCAAACATTAAATGTATGCCTTAAACCCTGTATTGTTCAGATATATGTAAACATTAGTTACTTATTTATAATTTAATATTTAAATATAAAGGCAACAAACAACAGCAGACTGTTTGCGTTATTTATGATAGCTTAGCTAGTTTGGGTCTGCTTTTACCACTGAAAGAATCTGTAGATGTAATAGACATCCACCTTCAGCACATATCTCTTAATGTGGAAGCAGCTGGTTGTACATGTGAGCAAAGCGCAGCATTATGAAATGGCAGTTCATGGCTGAAGTAGCAGAACATGAAAGAAGTGTGCTTATCCTACTGAATCATTTTTGTTAGACAGAGGTAGAGCATTTCAAAGCTAACTAGGGGATTTAGCCATATTTCGTAATTCCCACTACTTGCAGGGGGAGTTGTATAGCTAAATCTCCTAGCTGGCTTTGAAAAATCTCTTCTTGAAGTCACTTAGATTTTTGCCTGGCATTTCCCCCCATTGCTCAACATTCTGAATATAATACTTTCTATGACATAGTATGGAATCAAGGGATCAACAAACCCACTTGCTGGGGGTGAATTGGAGCACAGTTACAAATGCAACCCTGTGAGCAGGAGGACACCTATGCACAAGGATTGATTTCATCCCTGGTGCATAAAACAAAATTGGTGTGTAGAGTCTATTTTAAAAGACTATTTGTGTAAAAAATAATTTTGTTTCAAATCCAGAAAAAAAAATTAAATGCTCAAACAACAAACTCTAGTTAGCAATAGTGAAAGACTTGTTTGCATATCAAACGTTATCTTATAGATTGATATTCTTGGTGCAGTCCTGTCTTCTGCTTCCTAAACATAAAAATTATATCAGATTAGACTGTGAGCCAATTGCATGTGATGTGGAAGGTCCTGTTAGTTTACAGGAATCCCAAGAGAATCAAAATGGTTTTAATCTACACTAATTTAGATTCCTCCCTTAGATTCATCTCTGTTTCTAACCTGCAGTCTAAAATACACAAGTCTTGAATTGAGCCCTGAAGCTACTGTAATTGGAAGTTCATGCAGTTCTGTGGAGCGTGTGTGATGTATTCCCTAAAGAAGTAATCATTACACTAGGCGAAAAGTCAGCTGTGTTCTGCATCAGCTGAAATTTGCGTGGTGTTTAGAAGAGGAAAGTGTGGATGAATGTCAGTTAAGAGGAAGAAGCAAAAAATAAGTGGGGAATGAAATGAAAGAAATGGAGAAGGAGCAGTAGCCAGGACCAAGGGCTAATTAATAAAATGTGGGTGATGGGAGAAAAACAGATTTATGGGAGAGGCTTGTATGTATTGTCCTGGAAGTAGATACATAAGTTCTTAATTAGAAAAGTGTCTGGTAATATTGGGTGTACAGTATGTGCTATTTCTTATACTAAACAATCTGTTTCACCTTACATTTAGCTATGATGTTTGGAGTATTTTTTCCAGGCCTGAAGAGCTCCATATGTCTCATAAGCTTGTCTCTCTCACCAGCAGAAGTTGGCCGAATATAAGATACTGCCTCATCTATCTTCTCACTTTAATTTCTATAATGGACTTACTTACATGTCAAGGAGTTGATATGGGGGATCATTTGGTTTCAGATCCCTTTCTGCACTGTAAGGGTGTGTCTAGACTACAGGGTTTTGTCGACAAAAGTGGACTTTTGTCGACAAAACTATACCTGCGTCCACACTGCCTTTGAGATATGTCGACATAACGTCGACAAAACTCAGCAGTTTTGTCGACGCTGGTAAACCTCATTCTACGAGGAATAACTCCTTTTGCCGACAGAGTTCTGTCGATAGAAGGCATTATTGCATCTACACTGTCCTTTGCGTCCACACTGTCATGTCGACAAAGCGGCTTGCTTTGTCGGCAGAACTGGCTGTAGTCTAGACGCTCTATGTCGGCAGAAGTTTTGTTGACAGTATCTGTCGACAAAGCCTTTGTCGAGAAAAGCCTGTAGTCTAGACGTACCCTAGGACAGGTGATACTGGAAGAAAAGTCCTTCCTCCTCATTCTCTCTGGAGTACTTGTGGCCCTCAGGTGGAAGTAACAATTTTACCATATTATTACCAGGCTCAGAATTTGGACAGTCTAGTTGTACGTTTGTTGTGTTTTATTCAATAGGCCTTTGTGTAATTAGAATTTGTATTTAAATTCTGTAACCCTAATGGTAACAAAAATAATCTATTTTACTCTCCTCTTCTACTGATTGCTGCTTGTCCTAAAGTATTCTACAATTTGCGGTTCGGCGAGCCCTGATAATAATAATAATTTCTTCCATAGGACCTCCTGACGTATTCAGTGCAAAGGTTGGTTGCACAAACAACCATGAATCTGGGACTTTCTAGCTCTTCAGGGTTTGATTTTGCAACTATCTTTTAAAGGTGGGTGGGTAGGTGAAGGGGAGAGAGGAGGATCGATGTCACCATGCCTTCTGTATATTTCTTCTGGAAAAGCCTGTGTGGACAATGTAAAAGAAAATAACACTGGAGGGAACACAGTTAACATTTTATTTAACCCTTTTAAAATGTTTTGGCAGATATTCAACTTACCACTGTTTTGAATGTTCTTTAATAGCTTTTCTCATATAAGTAATTAATTAATCAATCAATCAGTTTTCTTCCTTTATTTGATATGTCATTTTTTTCTACCATACTACTGGGAGAAATTCAAACTTACGCTGACTTGTTTCTTTTTCCCCACTTGGCTATAGGGATGTGAAATGGCGTTTAATCAGCTAATCGAATAGTTGATGGAATTTAGTTTATAAAGGGGAAAACTGCAGAGCCATTGCAGGGTTAGCTCCCTCTACAGCTCTGCCTTTTAAATGTATGTATTTAACCTACATTTAAAAGGCTGAAGCGCAATGGGGGGGAGGGGGAAGGGACCAGGCATGAGTAGGGACAGATGATTCCCAGCTTGCACCCAGTCTCCTGCTATGCCTCTGCCTCCCCAGTCCCTCCCCCCATGGAGATGGTTCTGGGGGGAACCAGCTCCTGCTCTCCCCGCTTTCTGCCTCTCTCTGATAGAGGTGCTGGGGTGGGGTGTTTGTGTGTGGGGGGGAAGGGAAACGACTAATAGAGTCACTAGTTGAGTAGTTGCTTACATCCCGACTTGGCTATCAGCATTTGGCTTCCTGTGCTCTGAATACAGTTGAAAGTAACATTGTGGTTATTGCTTAGAAATAATTTCAAAGGTTATGTCATACCATCTTTGTTGTAAAAATATTTTATATTTGGCCCTACCTTCATTAAATAAATAAAAGCACAAAACCTCTCACGATTTGTAAAAAGGTAATTGAATCTATAGGATTTCTGCTTCAGGCAATAACCATTTTAAGGTAAATTAAATCTGTGGGCAATAAAACCTCAATCATGTCACTTTCAATTAATACTCTTAAAAAAAAGAAGATAAAGGATGCCTGCATCATCAAACTTGCCTTTCAGTAGTCTGAATTTATACCAGTTTTCACTCTGAAAAAAAACCTTTGATGTTCTGTTGATGCTATGGCCAGAATGATTAGCAGAACTGGTCAAGGTAAGAGCAATCTGCTTGTACAGAAAAGTCCGTTTTGTCTTATTCTGGTTAAGTACATTGATGGGAGAGAATCCTGTTATCAATCCAGATATCTAGCACTTTTATTTGTTGATATTTTGGGGTCATGGAACAAAAGGGTAAACTCCTGAACTCCTGAAAGACTATGTGTAAACTTGGTGTTTCCTTTTTTTTTGTCATGACAGGTATCCAAGGATAGGAAACTGGCCTGAAGGGAAAATCTGGGGGAGACTGGGTATTTGGCTACATTTGCCCCTGAGTAAGTAAATGTTTTAAATGGAAATTCCTGTTACATAATTACAATACTGTCAGCGCTTTTTTTTTTAGCTTTTCTGTGTCTGAAAAATAAATATTAACTGTACTGGCTTTACTCCCTGGAAACTATGTAGATGACTCAAGATTTCTTGGCATGAAACAGAGCAAAAATATATGAGCTTGCTTCTTTAAGATCCTGTTTGTTACCTTCAGTACTTCACTACAGGACTTGTTTTTTATTTCTACTCTCAAAGCTGGTCTAAGGAGAAGTGAAGAAAAAGATTCATAGCCAAAACATCTTTTGTCGTTGGCCTTTTGGTTTTACTGATTTAGTTTTCTGAGAATAGCTGTTGAGTGCAGTGTAACTGTTCACTTGCTTAAAGTTAAGCACATGCTTCACTGGATTGGGACCAGCTTGTATTTTAGGATCAAGGCCTTAGATATAAAGGTTTGAGGATAGAAGCAGTCAAGCACGGGGAGCGGAGATAGGGAGAGAAGACCACTTAAGTGAGGCTCTGGATTAACATCCTTCCTCCAGGCATTGTAGTTACACCAATCTGACTCCCTCCCCTATGTACACAGTATTATGTTAACAGGAGAGCTTCTCCTGTTGACATAGTTACCTCCTCAGGGAGAGGTGGAGTCACTACATCAACGGAAGAAGCTTTCCCACCGGTGTAATAATGTCTTCACTGAAGTGCTACAGGGATGCAGCTGCATCAGTGAAGCTGCACTGTTCTAGTGCTGAATATGAATACAAGCCCTAAATTGCAGACTGTTGTTTCTCTTTGCCATATGGATTGAGGTAAAAGCTGCTGGGGAATCAATTAAAGGAGTCACCATTGAGTAATGCAAGGGTACTCCCTTCCATAACAGGACTGAAGGTGCTGGCAATTTTCTAAGTGTGAATCCAAGAACAAAGCATATGTTCCAATATGGCAGCACTAACATTTGCCATTAAACCCAGGGGCCAGCCCCATGACTTTTCATTTTACTAGGGAAAATGATTCATAATAGATACTCCTTAAAATACAAAGACCCCTTGTAAACTGGGGTATTTTTAATGTACCGATAAGCAAACTCTAGTGCTGATCACTTTTTTTCTTTCTTGCCCAGAAAATAATTATTTAATATGAAGACAGTGTTAAATTGTAGCACTTCTCCAAGCTGGGAATTTATCATTGCCATAAAAGTTATTTTTAGTTTGGGATGGTTTATCATTGTTTATGTAGGCCAAAGATTCTTGTACTCAATGAATAAAAATAATATGTTGATAAATGTATTATAGCTGTGTAGGCAAGCATATTTGAGTTTGGAGCAGTATTAATTGATTTCTTTATGGTGAAAATTAATCACCTCTGATATAAAGAGAGCATTAAACATGAAACCTTGAAATCACTAAATTTCATAAACTACATAACCATATAAGATTTTAAACTCCTTGGACATACTACATGTACATAACATAATCATATTTTCTTATCTTTGCTGTGAAATACAGAAAGACCCTCACTTAAGGTCAGTTTTTGTTTTGCAACACAAGTAACTTCACATTTTAAAGCTGCAAATGATAACTGACTGGTTTTTTTCCTGTGTATTTATTGTTCATATTTAAGGTCTGGTTCTTGCAAATGCATATGCCAAGGCACACCCCTGAGCCAATAAATACCCAGGTTCTACCCTAGAGATCCCAGTGCACAGGTGTAAGTTTTTTTAAAGGCAAGAAATACCTTATTGTTAAATTATAGTTGCATATTTTAAAATCAAAATTAGTTTAACATTTGTTTTCAATCTGATATAGACCATTCAGTGACGTTTTCTTGTTTCTTTTAACTTTTGTACTAATACATATCAAAAGTTTTCATGTATATACTCCTGACCTTTAGTATCTTGATCAGTGTAAAAATTCAAGCATTCATTTTAAGATTATTTTCTTCCTTTGCATTGTTCACTTTTTGTCATTCTTAAGGGTAACAACACAGACAGTCTTTCTGGAATCATAGTATAAAATTGTCAATCATTTACATGACAAAGAAGATTGTTGGTTGAAAGGAAGGTTGTCATTATTTGCTTGTCAAAGAACATGTAGTAGTAGTAGTTGTCCTGCATTGGAACAGAAATAAGTAGGTGTTCTGATTCTTTTTACTGGAACCATAAGCCCAGGAAGGCCATATACGCGACTCTGGTTTGTTATGGAGGTAAAAAGTCCACCACAGAATTAAAAGATGAAGGCAAGCTAGTTAGGTTATGTAATTTATCCACTTATTGGCACAGTTTTTATTCTTCCCTACAGTGATTTATCAAATTCTTTATCTAGCCTACCCACATATATCTGCCGCTCATTTGTGATCATTGTGAACCTATATGCATTTCCTTTTTAAAATTGAAAGTGAGTGCACTGAGAACAGATTTTTCCCTTTTAGGCAAATAAATGGAGAGGGATTTTTTTTGTACATGTGTTATACCCAGCTGTTCCTGGTGGGAACTTTATTCTGAATAAAAGCTGTAGTGTTCTGAACTCTTTTGAAAATCTCAGTTTGCAACAACATAAAAATATATTTGTGCAAATTCCTGTGTGCAGTATTAAATTATACAGTCACTCTGGAGAAGTAATTTAACCAAACTTAATGTCTGATTTTTTTTAGTTAATAGGCAAAGATGAAACCAAGCAAAGCCTGTTGATGCTATAGCATGTAACACTTTAGCTATGTTTAACAGCTAATCTCAGAGGGATTATTACTATTGTGAACTACAGTCAGTGGTTTATGACAGTAATTTTTTAAGATACTGTGGTGTTACCACTATTCACTGAGTATGATGGATAATCTTTCATTATCTGGGGACTTAGGGCTCTTCCTTACATTCTTTCTTACAGAGATTGATTAAGTTTTTACAAGTATATTTATATCAATTTATCTACAGGAATTCTTAACAAAACTGATGTTTTATCAGTTATTTTTAGAAGGTTTTCTTCTATTTTGTATTATGAAGAAACTTCTTCATAGAGTGTTTTGTGTGGATGGGGATCAGGATGAAGTTGACTCATCTGAACTTTAATTAGCCCCAAACTCCATGAAAATGTAAATAAATTAGTTTATTTAAACTGTAGGATCTATTGGATTTACTGCTTTTCAGGAAAGTGGTAGAACTGGATAGTTGCTAGCTAGGAAGACTACTTTAAATCTTTGTCATACAGTCCCTTATTTTGATCATACCTAAAATGTTAATGAAATTAAATCTCCATTTCATTTCACAGTCTGAAGCAAAGTATTATAGCCTTTCATTGGGGTTTGGAAAACTTTATATCACTAACTTTGAAAGGCACAAAAGTCCTTTGTTTGACCCCTAAGCATTATAGACATTACTACTTTACCAGGCTGTAAATGAGAACTGATCATTAGTAAGGAACTTGGAGGTGGATGTTGGCTTTTAAAGAACAATACATTAGATTACAAGTTCCTGTAGAAGGTGAATGTTTGCTTTTAATGATTCCTGGGAAGCAGGAGGCTACATTATGATGATATAGTTGTGTGTGTAATAAATTCTACAGTTTAATATTTGTCAAGTTTTTTTTTGAGAACCTAACTCCTTAAAACCTAATTATTGCCATATTAATTCCCAAATGCTGTTTACCTATCACACAGGGGAAAATGGCTCTATTTAAAGCAGGTACAGTTTCCCACTACCTGTAAACGGCAATGTGAATGCAGTTAATGTGTAGCACACATGAAGGAAATGAAAGGGGAGATTGTTATATAGAGGACGCTCTGTGATATGAATGAACATTTCTGAATCTTTTTTTTAAGTGGAGGAAAAAAGACTCATTACAGACATGACTTGTTTTATTAATCTTTGATATTTAGAAAGCATCTTTACTGATCCTTTTTGCAAACCATATCATGCAATAACTGGCAAAACAGAAGCAATTACTGGTGTAGTCTCAAAGGGAATCTCAAACTTCACTTTAAGTGCAATGATTAAATCCTTTAAAATGGTAACCAATGCTGCCAAAAAGTCTTGTAATTGGTCACTAATGTATTTTGTTGTAATTGTCAATAGCTACTAGATTTCAGGCACATAATTAGCAACGTACACAAATTTGGTCAGTAAAATTGAAAATCTTAATAACCATGGCTAGAGTAGGCAGAAAAGGGATAAAGAACTGGAAAACTGAAATGGTGTTTTGTCGATAGTACCTAAGTAGAACTGTACGCTTCAATAAAACAAGTGTCCTGCTGTGCTGGAATACAAATGGCCTGTCTGTGGCAGGATACAGGGAAGACGTGTGGCAGAGAGGGATTTGAGAGCTTCTGGCATAATGTAATTGAATTGGCTATTTTCTTTAAAGATACAGCAAATTGTTTGTTGCAGTATTCATCATTATAAGAAAAATTAGACAGCTTGCCAAACATATGATATTCATAATAAAAAAAGTGAAAAAAGAGTGACTCTTAGACTTAAACACAAATCATTTATTGTATTTGTAAAAGCTGTAGAAATGAATACCATTTTTTGAAGCATTGCTGCATCACAAATCTAAGTAGGACTGGATTTTGAGAGGCAGGAAAAGTATTAGTCGGTGAAAATAGCCCAAAAAGAATTTAGCTAGTGTTCAACATAGGAATCCCTTAATTTGCAGACACTGAAATTATTTGGCCAGTGATGCTGCTTACCGTTGCTTTTAATTTTTTTCTATTAAAAAGCCCCCTTAAAATATGGGAAAGAGACTTAAAAACCAATTCCTTTTTTAACAAAGCACTGCTGCTTCTTGTTAAAACTAGCTGTAGTGTGACAGAGCCAAATGCCGTGGCAAGCTGCAGCATATTTGAAATCTTCTTGGAAATGCTCACTGTCAGTACATTGGGAAAACCATTGCAAGTCACATCCTGAACAGTGAACCTAAATTGTATTGTGACGTGAGCTTTGGGCCACACAGTGATGTCTCAAAAATGAGGAGCAGTTAGCTTGTAGACCCTAATGCTTTCAGGAGGCTAGCATTTTGAT